TTAAATCTTAGCAAGATGGAGGTATGTTGCAGTAATATTGACCGTTAATTTAGATAATTTTCTTTTAGTCTTAGCAGTGATCCACTTGCATTATGTGTACGCGTATATATACGTCATATACAGTATACTGTACGTATATATATATATATATATATATACTGTATAGACGAGTATACTGTAGAGTGTAGACTACTGTACATACATATAGTACAGTACAGCACAGTACTAGACAGCTTAATGCAGTAGCAGAATAAACTTTAAACAATTATTGTTATCATCATTATCTTGCTGTTACCGGCTGAAAAGTATCTACCATACAGGTGCAAGCACTCGATTTATGTGCATTGCTAGCGATTTTTATCCAGTCCACTATAGAATTTAATTTACTACGTGTAGACGACGACCTAGCATAGGACAGATTTTACTTTTTCTACTCCAGATATATATTTGTACGAGTAAAAAAGGCAACGTTCGAGATGTTGCTTGATTATTCCTACATTTAAATCAAGTACATGTTTTTACAAGTTCTCGCCATGTTAAATACCTATGATGGCACTCTAATTGCCCTTTGCTATGTCCGTATTTTTCTCTATTAAGCCAGTATTTCGATAAATCTCATTTGATCATTTATAAAACATAATATTAATTGATCATATTTCAAACTGTACTACCTTTTCGCTTATCCTTCGACCAAGGTAGTCGTTAAATAGACCTTAGTTTTAAAAGTGACGATTCTACTAGAAATTGCTCTAACGAAAGTTATGCCTGATGGCACGGATGCATACCTCAATACTTTATTGTTCTACTCCTAATATCATCGTTATCAATAATTGAACTCCGCATAACTCATAAAATAAATTAATATGACTTAACCGTCTAAAGTGATTTCGGACTTTGACTCTAAAGTACTGTCTACGAAGAACTATTGTATTGGAAAGGTTAAAATGAGTAAAAAAGATAGAATAGGTTTGTTTACCTCCGGGATTGCCAACAAATATCAACAAACTTTTTTTCAATATTACCAGCTTTATCTTACTCCAGAATGCATCATGTTCGATATTTGATACTCTAAAATATTTTTTTCTTACACATAAACTTCATCTATTTCTCTCTTTTATTATTTCTTTTAAGTAAATATAAAGGAAAGTTGTCTTGCATTGTATGCTACGTACAACATGTTATACTCATGACGAACGACGATAATTTTACAAGTACGCGTTACACATTTAAAAGGCCACTACAGTACAGTACGTAATCTTTTTCTAGATTGACCGATTATTATAATTTGTTATCATGATGATGAACTAAAGTTTGATAGGAGTATCAAAATACCGATATGGCTTACTAAAATGATCGTGCACAATGTCCATTATAGTACAGCTTCTGACAATTTTCTGATATTGCCTTTCTAGCTTAACAAAAGATCATACTTACCGGGTACAGTATATATCCATCCTTTGTTAATCCAAACGTTTTAGCTGTCTGTAGTTGATCTACCGTACTTTATTACTGGATTTCATTTTAATATTTCGGAATAATCATTCGACATACCGCATATTATATGTTTAAAACGTTGCTAGTAAAGAAAAATAGGGTGAATCAGGATAGATCTAAAAATTTAAAATCTTTCATAGAATGCGTGTATAGATCTTTTCATTATAACTGGATTAGTCATCCATGTTCGTGCAAGTAATTATCGTATTTCACTGAGCCTGACTAAACACTATTAACTAAATTAATACCGGCTATTATCGAGAAAATTGCATGTGATCTTAGATGGTACCAATTACTAAATACAAAGCATAAGGATAGTAGTTTTATTTTTTATCCCTTCCAATGATAATTTACGAATTTCTATTCATTAATGCTGCTTTATTATAAAATGATCTTTCTACGCGTATCCATGATGATCATCATAACGACACAAGTCTTACTGACAACAACACTACATATATATATGAACAGCCTTCATTTTTTTTATCTGTTTTAAATAAGATTGTGTAAAAAACATTACGCTTGACATATTGTCTACGGTATAGTCTACAATATTCAGAAAGCGATAAAAATAATAGTTCAACAAATCCCCTTTGTGCATATTTTACTGATCAACTACTGTATGTCGTATCAGCGATCTATGACCACCCTCTTATTTCGAGACGATGCAATCCAAGAAAGACGCTGAGTATCAAAAATTACATAAAAGAACTTTTTCAAATATTCTTACTGTGAAAAATTGAGTAGCGGAAATAGTAATGAAATCGATGTTTAGGCAATTGATAAATTACAGTTGACATACGGTTTAGTTCGATAACGTATATCCTATCATTTGTACCTAGTTATTATAATTATCTGGTAATCATCGATAAAATTGAACGTCAGTAAAGTGATACGAGTATACTACTAAAATTAGGTTATGATAGCACGGATATACAATTATACATGCACATCGGTAATGTAACAACAACAGCTAAGTTAACAGAGTTAGTTTGAAAGTTGTACTTAGATGTAACCTGAGCGCCAATGCAACAAACAAGACGTTTTCTTTTAATTTATATCTATTACTCCTTTATAATTCAAGGCTATATTTAATTCTATTCAAGTATAAAATATTCAAGCAGATGTATTCTTGCTACTGTTGCAGTCAACTGTAGGAAATGAAATAAAAAAAATTAGGCTGATAAGATACTTACTAGAGTACGAGTACGAGTACATTGTACAAGCATCAAATATTTAATAATAGACTGATCCTCTTTTGCATTAAATTGACTTTGGTGTTTAAAAATATTGATTTTTTTTTATTTAAAAGTTGATCTCATTTATCCTAATGTCTGCCAATGGTGGATTATTATACATTACAATGCCTCTGTTTTTTCTCTTAATCGAAATGCAGCTTCACAGCTAATGTACTGTATAATCGACGTTACTATGCGCTTAAGATTTATTATTATTGAGCTTTATTATGTTTTCGCTTTCTTTTTTCTACCATTTTTGACCCTTGATACATAGTAACATTAGAAAATAGATTGAGTTGATTTATCATCATCATGAATTTAATTTACGATAGCTTTGCTTCAACCAAATACGATGATCGGAAGTCAAGAGTAGAATCAAAATGCCACTTAAAATACTTTTTATGCATTGTGTTGTGTTAGTAGAATGTACAATACACTACCGAAAACGTACGCCAATAGGATATCATTACCACAATGATATACAATTTATCGCATTTTCGCGTCGTATATTGTACGTGTACTATTTATTAACATCCTTACCTGTTTTCGTACATATAAATATTACTGAAATGTTAATAGAATTCAATGAAAAGAAAAACCGTGGTAACCTAGTGTTTCATATGTATAGTGTAAATAAAAAATAATTGTGAAGTACAAGACAATCACTGTTGATTAGAAAATATTTATCGGTTCAATATCTATTCCTATTATTTTACTACCGCGTATATCTTTTTCTTGAAATCATATCCGAGACAGAAGTAAAGTATTATCCGTTGATTATTCATATGATAGTTTTGTTTATATGACAAAGATTAACAGTTATCCGCATTTTTAAACTTTACGAACTTGTAGCCAAATAATCGCTATGTCTACATGATTGCTGATTAATGAGAGATACACTTCAATGGATTATATGTATATCTAATTCATTTTTTCAATGAAATATCAATATCCCAGAGGATTCTGGATACTCTGTCACAAACTTATGTTGCGAACTACTACACTAAACTAATAGATTACATATGCCTTGCTCCACTACACCTGGAGATCTACTGTGTGGTAGTTCTTTACTACTTTCGGTCACACAGGGATAAGACTGTTCTAAAAGATTAGTATAGTTTTTATTAGTAGAGTAGCCGAGTACCTTCTCGTACACGATCTAATAATTACCAATATGATCCATTAGCTAAATACTGACAAAATCTAATTAGCAAGTACGGTGCTTTGCTCCGTAACACTCTATTATTCAATTTTTTAGTAATAGTAATGTTTATGGCATAACAAAATCGATACAATATATTACACCGTCCGTTCCGAATCCATTTACTACTTAATAAAGATAAATGAATTTTTAAAAACGTTTGTATGTTGGAATCCTTACCGTTAAATAATGATATTACTGTAGTTTCATCTCCAAATTTTAATATTGTCTTTGTACAAATTTATTTGTGCATCTAATGCTTATACTAAAGGTTTTACTGATACTGTACATTATACAATTTATCATACTATCATTAATAGATATCTTTGATCGGGATATCAATACTATACACTGTATTACACAGTACGTCGTCCATAGCTTGTTCATTTAATAAAAAACATGTAGCAAAGATGATTAGCACTAAATATATAATTGAACCATTTCCACCCAAAATCATTTCTTTTTTAAGAATGTAAAAGATTATTTCTCATAATTTACCTTGTAATTTACATTTGTAGACATATCGTCCACTCCAGTATTGCTTTTCTAATTACAGTATGTAGAGTTTAAGTATTTATCCTGAATCTTACTTAATACTTTTTTCGTTTTTTTACCCTAACATGAAAATTATTAACGCTTAACTATAACATCTTAGCACAGTCCGTACAGACCAGAGCGCAATGAATTTTCTTCTCAAAAATCAAATGTAGCTATGATATCGAAATGATTAATATAAAGCCTGACGTCACTACGATACCTGAATGTACTAGCATAATAATCATAGATAGGATACTGCTTTTGTGTTAAAAAGTGAAATTATTTCGAACAATTGTCATTTTATTAAGATGCCACTAACGAGCATTGTGCTATTTTGAACAATAATGATAACTTTGGTTGATATAAATACGAGAGGATTGTTCTTGAAAAACTGTTATCATTTTTACTTAATCGTGCAAGCAATAAAATATAGAAATAAGCAAAACTAGTAATCGTATTTTCTGAATACATCCTTACATTCTTAACATACTCGTATGTTAGACAATTAAGTACGTATACTAGTAGGATTAATGTATTTATTGGTTATATTAGGTACGAGTATAAATAAATATGTACAATATTTTTTTTCAATTTTATAGATAGTTTCAGTACCGCTGAGTGTCAAAGACGTAAGTAATAATATAAGATAGAAATTTTGCATTGTTGAAATGAACGAGAAAATAAATTATCGTACATTCCATATCTCGTTTTTATACTGATATTAATGGAATAGCTACTCACTTGAAATCTATTTATCTATCTATTACTAAATCGTAGCTTTTGTGTAGATGTTCCTAGTCTAAAGTAACACTATTAGAGATGTTAAAGATAATTTTACAAGTTTAAAGATAGTTATATGTATTCTAACTTAATATCAATACCTTTATGTGAAAAATAAAGTCATGTTTTAGGTTCAAATTACTAAATTGCAGATCTATTAACCATATATGTTAGCAGGATGAAATCTTAGTCATAATAATCAACAATTTTTTGCTTAAAGTTTATCTATCGTTATAATTTTAAATGTCTAGTGCTGATAGGAAGGATTGCAAGATATTGATTCAAAGCTTATTATTATATTTCTTTAACCTCGCTCTAGCTGACTCAATTGACGGAATTGTATTTATATGGCAATCGAATTAGTGTTTTACCGAATGAAATGGGAAACTTAGTAAATCTTAACAAATTATCATTGAGTGAAAATTCGATAACAACATTACCAGGCAAGTAATAGAATCTTCATTCACGTGAAAGCAAACTAGATTTCATAATCATCAATCTGTGTTATATTTAGACGATACTCTTAATTCATGTATCTCTATAACTTTGTACAGATTCATTTGAGAAGCTTAAAAGGCTGACTGTTTTAGATATGAGACATAACAAATTGAAAGATGTATGTAAATTTTTTTATCTTAATACAATTGCACTATATCCAAGAGATTACAGCTTCATTTCTATTTCTATTTAGATTCCGACTGTTATATATGAATTAATTTCCCTGGAAACATTGCTATTACGTTTCAATCGTATTACCGAAGTCGATCGCGAAATTGATAACTTATCAGTATGCTCAAGTCAATTTCTGCATCTATTTTTGCTATAATTAATTAGTCTTTGCAAACATTTTGCTAACCATTGTCGAAGTCATAAACGCTTAATTTGACAAACTACTATAAAACATCTTAGAGATTGAACTTGATCAGCTTAAGAGAAAATAAAATAAGAAAGTTACCTTCAAGTATAGGTAGGAATCACAAACTTCTAGCATTCAGCAAGTAAATTCATGTCGCACTTATCTATTCATACCATATGATTATTAACCAATGTTCTTTGTGTATCAGGCAATCTTCGAATGTTAGTAATATTCGATGTTTCTTACAATCATTTGGAAGAAATCCCATCTGGTAATAAACCCATATTTGCAAAATTCTTGCAAAACTTCATAGTTCACCATGTTTTCTCATTTTTTGCCATAGAAATAGGCAATTGCCTTCAGTTAACATCGTTGGATTTGCAGCATAATGAGCTAACAGAAATTCCTGCTTCTATCGGCAATTTAAGATCATTGAAAAGACTAGAGATTAAGTGTGTTTACGAATCCTTACCTGTATATTAAATATATATTACGCAAATGTCAAAGCGCAATCTATAACCTTTCAATATGGCGTACATTGTAATATTGGAATTCTATAATCGCGGCATGAATTAAATTGGTAACATTCACGAAACTCTTTTGCCTACACAGATATAATAGATTAAACAGTGTTCCCCCATCTATTTCTAATATTGGATTATTAGAAGAATTTAATGCAGAGGGCAATAATATATCGGAGTTACCGGTATTAATATTAACTATTGAAGTTTATTCGAATTATTCAATATCAAAACATACTTGAATTCTCTCGCATTTGACCAAGTTATTCCTTAAACTAGGTGAATTCACTAATACGAATGAGATCTTTAAAGTCAATCCAGTTATCTAGAAATAAATTCCATGAACTTCCTGCCGGAAATCCAAGTCAATTTGCATTTACTCAGGTTTCTGAAATACAATTTCTCTATCAAATGTAAATGACTTGCAATGCAATAATTTCTATGGCAACCTATACCTTTGACAAATAATTATTTTTGTCTAATATGTATCGAAATAGTCTATCGTAATCGAACACAATCGGATCGAGAGAATTCCGTCTAATATTTTCAAATTAGCTAAACTACTGGTAAGTCTTGCAAGGCATAAAATTCAATCTTGAATTTAATCTAAAAATGTAACACTTTTCACTGGCACACTTATTTGTTATTTATACAGATTTAGCTAACTTTTAAATCTCTTACAGAATTCACTCAATTTGAAAGACAACCAACTGGCATCTTTACCGCCAGGTAATGATTAAATTTACTTAGAGAACAAATATATAGTCATGTAAGTGCTTACTACTATTTGATGACGACTCCTAGATTTTGGAACTTGGACTAGCCTAACTGAACTTAACTTAGGAACAAATCATCTCGGAAGCATATCAGGTAATTTTCTTGCTACACATTTAATTCTCTCATTAATTGTTAATGCTTGTTATGATGATAAAATCTATTCCCTAAAATCGCTTTCTACGAACCTTTCAGACGACCTTGAAAATCTTGTAAACTTAGAAGTTCTAATCCTAAGCAATAATATGCTAACGTCATTACCACAGAATGCTCTACCAGCTTTGCAAAAACTTAGAGTTCTTGAAATTGAAGAAAATGAACTAGAGTTCCTCCCGCCTGAGATTGGTATAATATTCGTATACCCAATGCCTAGTTTGTCTCAATCTTTGTGATATTTCTTAAGTACATTTTAATTTTGGATTATAAGGTGACATGTCTATGCTAACACGATTAGTTGCAAATAATAATTTATTGACCCAACTGCCTAAAGAAATAGGGTAAGATATGTTATAGTATTTTAAATTTCCTATAGTGGGCAATTCTATTTAATTAAAATTGCTGATTCTTCTGACTTTAACAAAATTCCAAACCTTGTTTACTGTTAGAAAACTTTCTAAGCTAATGTATCTAGCTGCTGGTGAAAATAGACTGATGTCAATTCCCGAAGAAATAGGTATCTGGGTACTGAATTCCATATTAGTTATGACAGGATAAGGTTACATGTTAAAAAAACTTTATTATTAGGTAATTTAAAGTCTCTGGAACAATTGTACTTAAATGACAATGAAGAGTTGAATGATTTACCTTTGGAGTTAGCAATGTGTGAATCATTGCATTTAATGAGTGTTGAAGGCTGTCCGCTCTCTCGTTTACCTGCTGAGGTCACCGCTGGAGGCCCGTCGTTTATTTTTCAAGTAAGTAGTTTCTTCATCAATCTAGTTAAGATTCGATTAATAACTGGCTATGAAAATAACTTTACCAAACCATCAATAGTATCTTAGAGTGGAACTTTCGCAAGTCATACAAGATGCTCAAGATGGATCTATGTCAGCAGAATTCCTAACTATTGATACTGATTTATCGTGATTAATATGCACCATTTTATTTGTCATGTCCAGTCTTACCGCCAATCCCTGAGCTGTACTATACAAAAATCTAACTTTGTACGAGGAATGTTTTTAAACACGTGAAATTAAGTTAATTAAACTATTTTACCTCTATCAGACTTAAATTATAGCACAGTATATTAAATAATTCCTTTAATAATTAATCATACCATTAATAATGCTAAGATGTTGCTCCACGATGTGTGGGCGTTGCAAACTATCGATTTAGGTGTTACTTGACCCCTTTGATACAAACTATTATATCTGTATAGATACTTCCATATTCTGTAATTTATGCGTACCCAGGATTAGTGCAACTGAAATCGATTGTAAAAGTATTAACTAATATTTTTAAAACTACAAATCGCAAAACTCGTTAAAGGCAAAATATGACGCACGATACTATACATTGGCAAAACTAATATATAATTAGCAAAGTTGTAAGCTTTCTCATTTCCTAATTGCCTGATCGTTATAATCATTCAACGGTTTTTTAATTTAATTATATTGTACTCAAACGATAAAAAGTTTTCTAATCTGGGCTTCCTTTTGATATAAGTTTTTCGATACAAATCAGCTTTGAAAAATTAGGAGCTTAATGTAGACCTTAGAAGAACACCAGGCAAACATAACTTACCTAGGTATTTATAAAATTTATTTAACGGTTAATGAGAGCAAATCAACACCGGTAAGTTGAGTGCGCTGTTGTAAAGCTTGAAAAGGTTAAATAGCTTAAGAAACATCTGATGAAAGTAATAATATTGATATACTTGTAGTATAAGCCGCTCTAATATATATAATTATAAATTGCGTATAGAACTTAAGGCTATCTCTCGCGTCTCATGCGTGTTGCAATCTACTTCAAATTAAATCATTTCTTGTCGTTAGGCTAGTCATTTTACACGTATTATGTTATACTCGTATGTTAATATGCATATATAGTGCGATCGCAATAGCACTAATTTTTGGCGAAGCTCTGATTGTATAGATGACTGTTATATATCGCTTATATATTACGATACATTTGTAACTTACAGGATTATAAATTATCTAAATAAAGCCATGCATGTCTGCAATAAAAATCATAAGCAAAAATTTTAAATGACGAAGAGAAGAGGTATCAGCCTGCAACGTTGTCATAGTGCATGTTAGAGTCCGATTCAACAACTTCCTGTGACTGAAATAGAACGGAAGATACATCAATTATAATTAAATTATTGATAGTAGTAGCATTATTCAATTAATACAACAGCATATCAAGATGATTTTTATTAATAAAATTGAGATATCTACACATACAGCGAGTAAATGTGCTAGTTTATGATGGTACGTCGGCCAATGTTAACAATAAATCTAATAATCCATCTCTAGCATTTCCAATTTACCGTATTTACAATAATAGGGATACAATCAAGCATGAAGTAATGTGGAATCTTTATATCATTAATACGATATGTACAAGAATTATGCAAAAGTGATAATGATAATACATTTTTAAATAGAATAACTATGAACTTCATAAAGTATTTATGCTACTATAATATCTCTTGAAGAAAATTATTATAGATACAAATTCATACGCGTCACTAAATTTCTTATAAAATCCTAAGAGAATTTAATACTGAAATGCAAAACATTCCGCTTTCATGTCAATAATAGAGACTGACTGCACACCATATTTTCATCCATATGTGTGATTACACTTCATAAAAATTGTCCATCTTTTGCTTAAGTACTGCAGCTTATTTATGAAAATCATACAAATGTTTATTAAAGCTTGATAAATGTATTATAAATTCTTTTAAAATTAATATAAATATTCAGTTGATCTTGAGTTCGCGTAAACGAGTAAATGTAATGAAATCGGGAAATTTATGCATAGCAAAGAGTTTTAAGATGATTCGTTGATCGACCAAACCTTGATTATACCATCACTGAATAAAGAATAACAATAAAATTTAGTAAATATTCAGGATAGGATTAAAATAGATCACTTATGCATACCTTGATGAGGTAAAAGCGTAATTACAGCTAACCACGATAGAATTTATACAATGAGGGTGGGCTTTAAAATTTTCTAAAATAAAAATGATGACATGTATCCTCCTTCAACTTTTAGTCCAAATTATAAATGGGAAATGTCTCTTACCCACACAAGCAAGACTTTCAATATCCCACAAATGTAATGCACCGCTTCGACAGCCACTAATAAGGCGTTCTCTTGAAGGTAAATAATTTAGGGTAGTAACCCAATCTTTATTCGCAGACTGTTGCGACTAGTATTAAAACATTAGATTTTCTTTTAACAGCGCTAATTTATTGCAGCATCTCATCCACTGACATCTTATAGTTTTATAACAAACCTGCACAAATTCACAAGTTGTTGTATTCCATTGCTTGATAGTACTATCTCGTGAACTACTGAAAACTTGATCTTTTACAATCTTCACAGCTTGCACTCCATCATAGTGTGGGGGTTCCAAATCGTGTTTTACATACTGTAATCATTAAGTGATTAGAATCACGTTACAAAGAGCATTATTTAGCACAGCATATAAATAGATGCAATTTTATACCTGGATATCGCTACCAGAGTTTGTAATATGCAATAGCTTAAACGTAGAGTGAACGATAAATAAAATTGTAAATTGTAGGAACTGATATAACAAGATTTCGTAACGACAAAACACACGCAGATTATAGTAAAAAAATTAGGAAAAGTAGTACCTTGATGGAATGATCTTTCGATCCCGTTGCCACAGACAAGAAGTTGTCTGTAGCATTATCAGCAATAGCAACAGTTGTAATCGCGGCTTTATGGTTGGTTATTAATTTCGTAATGCAATTAAATTTTCTAATATCCCAAATTCTTAGAAAATTGCCGTCAGTTGAAATTAATTGTTCACTTCTGCTGATAATTTTGATATCGTTAATTTGACGTCCAGCAGAGACTTCTCTTATACCTCCGTTTGATATAGAAGTGTTCGTAAGGCTAAGTAATTTATTTATGTAAATACCATATTTCAGCAAAAAACACGATAAAATTAAATTAGAATATAATTTTTAAAACAAATCTTGTACCCATTTTTCAAAAATACCACACACTTAATACTTATCCCAAACCTTAACATATGTATACATCTATCAGGATTTTCCCGCGGATCCCATACCTATTATCGAGATGTACATTATTGTGGTAGTGATGAGATCATGCAATCCACAATATATCAGCTTTAAGGGCAGTATATGTCTCACCGTTATATTTGTTTTATTAGCTATAAATAATAATCCCAAGTTTTCGCTAAACTGCATAGCAACTAAGTCCTTTACGTAACCTTTGCCCAAAGTTGTTATTTCTTGACCAGTTCCAGTATCCCACATTTTAACAGTTCCATCTTTAGAAGCACTAAATAATAAATCTTTCGTACAATCTAAACAAAGTACGGCAGAAGTATGTCCACGAGCTTCATAGACGCAATTCATAGCCGAATTAGAGTTATTAGAAGTAGAACTTTTGATCGCCACAAACTTCCCCCTAATCCGAGTACAAATAAAAGATATAAACGATCTAACCGATACGAACACCGCTTAAATTCATACTTCTTACCTGTCAGATTCTCTCGTTCCAATATCAGGAGTTAATCGTTCGAATACACTTAATCGACCGTCACGACTATTAGAACTCATAGAACTAGACATTCGCAAGATTTATATTTATTCTAGTTTAGATTAATTCAAGAGCTGACGGAAAAAGTAAATCTGGCAGAGCAATATACCTTGTCCTATTGTAAGGGTAACTATCGCTCTCCCTCCGCCCATGAGAATCGGAAGATTTTTCAATTACTATAGGAAAAAGTTTGTCATTATGTAGTATAGATGTAGACATATATACGACATTTCTAATATACAAGTTAACTGATAAAGACCTTAATGGGCTAGCATAAAATCAACGATACGGTTGTAATATAACTTTAAGTAAAGATCACAGTCAATCTGTGGAAATTTATTTCCATTTGGTAAATCCAAATGCAGCAATTTGTTATTTATATTTTACCGTTACTTCGTTCTTGGTACAAGGACTCTAAATTCTTAGTACTAATACGGGTATCAGGTATGAACATTAATTCATTTGGACTAAAAGTCTTCCGACGATGCTAATTGACGTATACATTAAAACAGAGGTTAATAAGTTTTCCGACGTTATCTGTAGTGTATCCTATAAAGTATCAATTCTTGAATTTAAGAAATTGCCTTTTTATTTTTTTTATCCGGACTTTTAAACGGTTGACGGGATAAAAGAGTACATTCAGACACATAAAGATCCAAAGAATCTAGCGGTATAAAGTACAACAATTAGCTAAAAAACTTATACAGACAACACCCTCTACTTAATAAGTGTAGATCGTGTAACATCAAGGTGCAAAAACGAATACTAAAGAATTGAAGAAGTATCACATAATATGGCAGGGAATAGTCGGTAAATGCTATTATTTACCCTGACTTTGTAAATGCTCTTTCAAAAAGGTCTCTTGCAATTTTATCTGATTTTCACACGAAGCCAGTTTCTCCTTCAACCGACGATTTGATTTTTCTTGTTCGCACATAATTATCCTCTTATTCGCATATTCCCATATCAAATTTTCTAAAAGAGATTTCGCGTTCAAAATGCTATTGCATGAATTCACAATTGCTGTAGGATCGTGTTCTTCCTACAAAAATAATGATCATATTGCAGTATATCGATTAACTGTAATACAATTCAACAAAATTTCATGTCATATATTATATTGGGAAGGGACACTTTAAGTTAATTGAGTCCATTGTAGAAAAGATATGATTTACCTTAGCTTCAGTTAAATGCATAACTTCATTCTGTCTTTCAGAAATAGTATCTTGTATAAATTCTAGCTTCGCTACAATACCCTCCGCACGATCATGCAAATCATCATTTTCTTTCTCAACCTGCATTTAGAAATATAAGAATATATTATTGTACCTACATCAGATCTGAAATAAGCCACAAAAGAGTGATAAAAAACAAACCGAATCGTTTCCAGAAATCTCTTCCATCTGTTTTTTACAATTTTCTAGTTCTAATCCAAGTTTTTCACGTTCCTACATATACATCATTCAATTCATTAGCAAAATACAAATTAAACAAATGAAAGTCACATTATTAGGATTTCGATTAACTTTAAATCGATCGTATAAAAAAATTGACGCTACTCTGCCCATAAATTAACCATTTAGACCTTGACATTAAATTGTACAGTTAAGTGTTATAGCATCACCTGCATTAAATCTTCTATATCACTTTCTAGCAATAGTAGTGCTTGCTTGTTTGCAACATAATTCGATAACTAAAAAGAAATAAAAGGCTTAACGTTAGTTTGAATTAAATTTGAATTGAAGAATTAAAAGATCACACGTTATCGCTTACGGTATCTTTCAAAATCTTCCACTTTTTCTTCGAGGAAGTTCCAGCTAAAGTTGAAATTTTGGCTACCGTTGTGCGCTTCGAAGTCCTGGAATAATCTAAAGATATCCCAGATCGGTTCATCTTTCCTTGGGAAGCAATAACTGCAGGTTGCATTTGTTTTTTTTCCCGTCTAAGCACTTCCACCTATTGTATGAAATTACTTACTTAATCCCCAAGTACACAATATAAAATAAATATCTCTACTATTAAGTAATGAGTTGCTAACTTTACCTCCCCTTGCTTCCTTTTTAAAACAGCTTCTCGACGTTGTTTATCCGATTCTAAATTGCGGATAGCAATCTAATAAAAGTTTAACAATTTGTTGATAACAACATCAACCACAGGATCAATTGAGACCTTTAGATATTTACTCCTGTATAAGGCCCTTTCTATTTTTACTATCCCGAGATAATAATTAGGGACGAAGATAATAGTATTTCGTTTTCTACATTACCACATTACCTCTTTCTGACGATTCAACTTTTTAAGTTTAGCAATTTCTCGATTTTTTTTCACACCCTAGACAATAAATTTAAGATCGAATTTCTTCAAATTAGGAACAGAATTTGATAGTAAAGTAAATTATTCCGAACTAAATCCATAACAAATCATTGCAAATGAATACCTCCTGTTTATTTCTACTAGCGTCTTGCTTCATCTGATTAACCAACTTGACCTAATGTTATTAATTACCCTATAAGTTACTAAAGTACATGTGATCCACATTTTAACCTTTTCAATTTTCTTATCACAAAGTAAAATAACCTTTGCTTCTTTCATGCGCTGTAAGTCCGTCCGTAAGGTTAGCAATTGTTGTTCATGCTGCGTCTAGTAAAAATATAAGCGATCATTAAGCAATTCCTTAACCGGAAAGACTGCATCAATAGCCCATATGCGTCATGCTCATTATAAATATAGCTACAGGATAAAAGTTCTTACTTTTATTTTTAGCAACTTATTATGCTCTTTTTGTGCTGTCTTAAGTTTTGTTAACTCCGTGGTGAGATTATTAATCTTCTTTTCGTATTCACTTTTAACTTGATTAGCTTTATTACCAGAGCCAGACTCGAGTGTATCTAGCATGTACAACACCCATTAATCTCTTTACTCTCTACTTATCTGACTGGTATCTATTATGTATAGATATCAGCAATTACTTACCTATTGTTTTCATAATTTGATCGCGTTCTGTTTTTGCATCTTCAATTTTTTTCTTAAGCAAAAACAAAATCAATTTAAAAGTTTTAGAATAATTCTTAGAAGTTTGATCGGTAAAAATGTGGTGATTAAATTTTAAAACCAAATTTAGGTTACATTGAAGATTGTTGCGCTATAGTTTTATTCATAGCTAATATATCTTTTTAGATTACCTGTAGAATTACAACTTTTTCCTCATACTGTGCTTTCAACATATTTATTTGCTCATGACTTGACTCAAGTTCAGAGATTAGTCTTTGCTTTACCGATATTTCCTGCGATAGTTTTGCAACATCCTCCGTTAGTTCTAAACCAAGGAAAAGAAAACATTTAAACATTGAACATACAAACACAAATAACATTCCACTTAAAAAGTATACCTCCATCTTCATTTTCTGAATCATCTTGAGAGTCTGAGTCATCACTCTATAAATGACACATAAAAATAATTATTTTTTACGCCGTATACTTTGAATATGTATTAAATGAATCATAATATCTTGTGAAAGTCTAATAATGTTATAATTTATGCTCGCCACTTTTAGGAATAATAGGGAGCTTACTTTTTCGATATCTTTCATCTTTTGCATATCTTCTTCACAAGATTGCTTAGCGATTTTTAAAATCTCAGCTGAAGAAATAGATGACTCTAGAACTACAGTTGATGATGTAGGCTCGTTCCATCGTCGCATCTCTTGAATTTCCGCTAATTGAATTCTGTATATTCATTTCAATTTACATCCACAATAGGAAAATTAGCGCTAGCGATACGGATTAAGATTGAAATCAAGTAACTATTACATACTTCAAATTTTCAATCTCCGCTACATATTTCTCTATGACTTTGGAAATATCTAAACTGTTGCTGGGGTCAGCTACAACCATTTCAGTTGCTTTATTAACTTCCAAGCTTATATTTCTAGCCTTTTGAGAATCAATAACTTGCTGCATCGCTTTAATTCGTGAGCGTAGCCTAAATTTTTAAAATAAATATATTTCAATAGTAATCGCTAAGTGATGGTAAAAATATAGTGTAAGCAATCCTAACCGGTCAACTTCTGCTTGAAGCATGACATTTTCATGATGTAGATCGCTATAAATAGGTTCTCCATCGGATTCTGCTACTCTTTTCCCTTGGCGATATTCCATGACTTCAATTCGTAACTGTTGCAATTCAGCACGTAGAGCTGCTATTTGTTTTGAAGCCTGATCTTGATTTACCACAACCTATGATAACCAGTAAAAGAAATAGTTGAGATCAATTTTGGTATTTATTATCCAACGATAATTAGACGTTTGCATGGAAAGTACCACTTTTGTGGCAGGCAATAACTGTGTATCTATAGGAAAATCGACAGTCTATATTTATAGTTTGCTAAATATTCAACGAGCTAATATATAACCTTATTTTTAATATTGCGAGCCCTATTCGCGTATTTTAATGTATTCAGCGTTTCCATGAAATCACAATCTGAAGGGCTTGCACAGGCAATCATCAAAGTTCGACTGTTACCACCCAATGAATCTTGTAGAAATCTTGTCAGTTTTGAATCGCGATATGGAACATGAGTTGCCTTTTTCGATTGATCTCCTAGAGCACTTATGACATTTCCAAGCGAGAGCTAAAATATTGTGTCAAATTCAGTATTGATCGAAACGATTCTGTTACTATTGAATTGATAATAAAGTTTGTACGATTAAATGACAATTTATGCATGCAATGTTTACCAATCCGCAATTTATCGATATTCCTTCCTTAGCGCGATCGCCAGTTGCTCCAGTACGTTTTAATCTTTCTGAACCTGCCAAATCTACAAAGTGGAATTTGGCACTGATACTTTCTAATTCGTCAGATTGTTCTATTGTCTATTAACAAACATACGTAGAAGCAATCATGAAAATGGCAATATTTTTTCAGCTAAAATTTTTTTATTACCTTTTCTGAAGTAACATACTATTATCGTTATATACAGAACTATATTTTTTGCTCAATAAGCTATTGTAATTAATAATAATATAATTAGGCATCCTATTATCAGTATTGATCATACTTTTACGAATCTTGTCTGCCTTATGCTGATTGTAAAAATAGCATGCGAACGGGAGGATTGAGCATTCATATTGGTACTAGCAGTGGTGCGTAGCAAGGTACCATCTTGGAGGCACTTCGCTGTATCATCTGGAGATGTCACTGTTCTTGAGGTAGCACCTGCAACATAAATATCTCCATCTTGACTTTCGTGTATCTTTAAATTTTTCTTAACCTACAATTAATGTAATAAATCGATGCAATCAGTATTGAGAAATGAGGCTCTATTACACTTTTATGTAAAAGGACGGGGGACAATGTCATTAAAACATGAAACATCCATCATAAACACAAAAAGATATTTGTACATGGAAAGGAAATCAATAGTAGACATACCTTAGGTTCGATATTCCTAGTCGTACTAAGTAAATCAATAATTTCTTCATTATATAGCTCTAAAAATTGAGCGGTAACATTAAATTCGGGTGAAGGTAAGTTTTCTTCAGCTGCTTTTTGTTTTCTAATATTTATGCCATTAAATAAATTATTAACAGCTCGCGGTATTATCCCTAAAATTTTTCAATGAAATGGATCAGTAATTGATTGTGGAAATATGCTTGTATACCGTAAGCTTATAATGAAATATTACAACCTCTAGTTTAATCGATGACTCAATTTTAGCCACTAATTTTAAAATGGAAGCTCTTCAGAAATAATAAGCTATTACTTTATAGCTAATGACAATTGATGGTCATCATTGCTAGTATGATAGTATGCCATTCATTATGAAACGATAGGACAGAAAAGATATAAAATGGATTACTATTTCAATTTTACCTTCAATTTCCGGATCAACGTTGACATCAAAAGCTGTTCCCATAGAATACGTTTTACCAGATCCAGTCTTTAAAAAAAAAGTGAGTAGATATCGGTCACGGATAGTAAGCATTCAATGATTTACTAAAGATTCTAAAACTATACAAGTATAATTATTATCTAGCTATTTAAAATGTTGAACATGTATAGAATGAAAATCAGAATTCAACATGATAACGAATAATAATCAGTGTTGTTGGATTACCTGTCCATAAGCAAGGACTGTAGCATTGTAGCCATCAAAGCAACTAGCATAATGAAGTAGATTTGTTGAGACACACGGATAAGAGTCAATTCATTATTAGAATATACTTGGTAATAAGAAGTATTAATTATCCACCATTGGGAGAAAAAATTTCTCAACTCTATCATGGACAACGAATAAATTCCTAAAAGGACTCCTTGAGGAAATTTATTAAAGTATTACCTTTCGATTAAAGATTCAACACAAGTATCATATATCTGCTGTTGACAGATGTTTTCATCGAAAACAAAATCATAGGTAAAAGCTTTGTCTTTGCCCAATACCACTTGAAATTGATCAGCATAACATGTTACACATTTCCTACACATATCCAGTTTCTCTCTGGCATTTTGAGGACGTATCCTAAGTAAGACATTGAATACAAATGAATCAATCTGTGTCGCATTTTAGCCTATCAATGAACTTTCTCATAATCGTAGTGTACACAGAGATCATTAAAAGCTGTCAAGATGTGATAAGTTAAATAAGTCCTTTAAAGTAGTGTTGGCCACTTACGGGGAAGGAAATTGATTGGACCATCTTGAAATGATACCTCATCATCTCCAAAGTTGCTATTAACAACTACTATGTTATTATGATGTTTCTTTTCGACTTGTTAAGATGGCTAATGTGATAAAGTGTAGCCAATTCTGTAACAAGATTTCATGATGTAAGGGGATACTATGAATACGGAATTTTAAATTACAAATAGTTTTTGTTGGTAATCCTTCTTAATCGAATTTATTTCTTCTATCATTCCATCATGGATTTCAATTGGACACGTATGAAGGAAAATAGGAGTACTAGTCTGGATATTGATGCCAGTGAGTGCTACAGAGAGGAAGGGGGGGGGGGTACTTTGGTGTTGATCACTTCGATGGAAATGTATCATCACTAAAATTGAATTTTACTTGTTATTAACCTTCTTGATCGAATTCATTCCTTTTATCATACCATCACGGATTTCAATTTGGACACGTATGAAGGAAAATAGGAGTACTAGTCTGGATTTTGATGCCAGTAAGTGTTACAGAGAGAAAGGGGAAAGGATGCTTTGGTGTTGATCACTTCGATGGAAATGTATCATGACTAAAATTGAACTTTACTTGTTATTAATTCACATTATCTAAGTATGCACGTGCAATCGCATCGAGTTGATTTTGACTCTACGAGCATAGACTATCGTGGATAAATAATCATCCAATTTATTGTCGTACTCAATGAGACATTTCCTATACAAGTTCTCCATGACGGTAGTCTAGTTGCATGCAAATTATTCTCCATTGTACTGCAATGGAAAGGAGGTTAATTTATTGAAAATAAAATGAGCTAAATGTATCCACCAACGGAGTAGTGGACAAAAATGATTCAACTACCATTCTTTGGTGTAAAAAAATACCGTCGTTTAACATCGGATAGCGATGTTGAACATTGGCATTTACAGCAAGTTTATTGGATAGGAGATTGAAGAGGAAAATACAGTATTCCCTTGAGGCTATCATTGATACTTTACTATTGTATCAACTATCAATGGGGGAAGTACGATTCAAGAAATGGATCTTTATTGAAAAGAATACACTTCTCTGTATTTGTAGGGCTATCAAGGCTATCGATTCTATGGTTATTGAGTTGATTACAATCGTTTATTTTAACACCATTTTAAATTGAACAAGATAAGGTAATGTGCTCGAGTCAAGTCAATTTGCTCTTGCAATATCACTGACTCAATATCCTACTAATTGGGCCATTACTAACAAAGACCTTTTCTAGGTAGCCATCTACAGTACAATTCGACCTGTCATAAAGCTAAATTACAATCGATTTATGTTTGGCAATGAACAAACTTATTTTTTCTTATGTAACCACTTCCTTCTCCACTGGCTAAAAAATGGATAGCAGACAGAATAGAAAAATACTCGTACGACACTACTGTTTGTTGGCTTATCCTTGCTGTGCTGTCTAGTCGCATCTGCAGCCACTGGATAGCGAGATCATTTATCGTTGAAGAAGGCTCAATCCGGGGGAAGGGGAAAAAAAGGAATAAAATGAAGACAGATCCAATCTACGATACCAGATTGACTCTGGCTTGTATGGAAGCAGCAGCATCCATTTTACATGATCATTTCTTCTTGATTGGCATTGATACGTCTAGTGTAAGGGTCTATGGCTAGTCGATATCTAGCCCTTGTAAAGTGAAAATAGTTGATCAAGGGGAGAGAATCTAGACATAATGTATTGCTTCTAGCTCTTTGATGGAGATCGCACACCATCAACGTTTCAATATCTTATACTGTCCAATGACTGTGGAAGGTTTAAGCCTGTCCTACTGTACTGAAGTAAGAAATAAATGGGCAAAAACAAGAAATTGGTGTTAGAATTATCAAGTCTTTTTCAAGCTGTTAGGGGCTTGTCACTTTATTCACGCATAAGACATAGGGTGGGATTGCAAATGGAAGCCTTGATTATTTTTTTTTTAAAGTACATTTCATTTCCATGGACAGATATGAAGGTAAACGTGGAATTTTATAGCACCGAATGGTAAGCAGCATTTACTGGGACGCCAATTTGATGGCAGTACAGGCGCGTATGTCGACGTTATTGGCTGTTATTTGTTTACAATGACTGCAATGGTGATGATGACAAATGGCAAGGATTTACCAAGGTCAAATCATCCAATTTAGCAAGAGAATGACTTTCTACACAGTATTGGATAGGCATTTTAGGCTATCCCATCTTGGGTCAATCACTTACTAAACTAGTTCATTGACAAGCCTAGCCATCCTGTGGTTTTGGTCCATGATGATAGTTTCATTTTTGGGGGGGAGGAATCCTAGTATTATTGGCTGAAATTACTATGGGCATGGTTGCTTGAATGTAGGATTGGACTATTCTAACAACTAGCAAACCCCTCTGCATTTCTTGATCTCATTCCTTCTTACAATGTGACCATCCTAATGAACCAGTGAGATGATGGATGGTAATTTGATTTGGGGTCGAATGGATGATGATAAAAGTAGTTATCGATCGAGTGTATTTGTTGACCTTATTCTTTCTGACAATGTGGCCATCCTATGGAACCAGTGAGATAATGGATGGTAATTTAATTTGGGGTCGAATCGATGATGATAAAAGTATTGATCGATCTCTTTGACAGTGCAATGGAGGAAGAGAGAGGGCTGTATTTGTTGACCTCCTTCCTTTTTACAATATCAGCATATTATTGAAGTAGTGAGATTATGGATGGTCATTTGATTCACGTATTTATGGATCTATTTTACAGTGCAATCGAGCGTATTTGTTGACCTCCTTCCTTCTTACAATATCAGCATATTATTGAAGTAGTGAGATCATGGATGGTGATTTTGAATTGGGGCTCAAATGGATGATAATAAAAGGACTGATCGATCGATTTTGCAGTGCCATGAAGTAAGAGAGAACTGTGATGATGAACTGGTATGGAAATGAAGTAATAACTGATGTTGTTGAATGGATCATGTTGTTGCTCAAGTATCCATAACAAGATCGATCGTGGAGAAATGGAAATCATATTGAATTGAATGCAAGTGATTTCTTGATTTGTGTATTGTTATCCTAATTGAATTAGAGGATGGATAAGCGGCGATCGACTGTGGGACAACATCATGCAGACTTACCTGACTGCAACACGGACAGAAACACTGCCATCGTCTTTACTAGTCATAGCGACACGGATACCACAATTGAGCAACTCTTCTCCTCCACCACCCGATCAATCTTCAAGTAAAATGGTCGAGCAACTCTTCTCCTCCACCACCCGATCAATCTTCACATAAAATGGTTGAGCAACTCTTCTCCTCGACCACCCGATCAATCTTTACATAAAATGGTTGAGCAACTCTTCTCCTCGACCACCTGATCAATCTTCAAGTAAAATGGTTGAGCAACTCTTCTCCTCGACCACTCGATCAATCTTCAAGTAAAATGGTTGAGCAACTCTTCTCCTCCACCACTCGATTAATCTTCAAGTAAAATGGTTGAGCAACTCTTCTCCTCCACCACTCGATCAATCTTCAAGTAAAGTGGTCGAGCAACTCTTCTCCTCCACCACCCGATCAATCTTCAAGCAAAATGGCCAATGGAGTTAGTGGAAATGGTGGTGGCATCCTGAACTTCTTCTCTGCCATTGAAATTCCCAGTGAAATGGATTTTCTTCTCAGTGGATTGCTTTGGTTATACAACCTGCCCATCTGATACAGTACACTAGTGGACTACCCAAACATGAGTCTCGCTGGTGATCGATTGCATTCGACGGCGTACTGGACAGTCGAGTGAGGCAGGGCGATCGTGTCTCATGTTGGGTTGAAGCGCTTTGATAAGAGGCGATAGACACCGCAAGCGGGTCAGCCGCTGGTGGTACAGGTCATACTACACTGGCGACACTAGACTCGACACGACCGCATATTGGTGACCGTATGCCGACTGAGTCGCACCGAGAGTCAACCGCACCTGACGTTGGCAACACGTATCAACACCTGACCACGACCTCACTGTCACAGACACCAACGAGCATCACCCTCGCTCGTACTGTACTGTACAGTATGCCCCACTCGACAGTCTACAGTACAGTACTGTACTGTACTGTAGACTGTACACGGTACACTAAACAGCTCACTGCACTGTACTAATAGGCCATTGCGCAACTCATTTCACCCATCTGCGATAGTTGTACTCGACTGTGGTAGAAAATGGCAGCGATTTACGATTGGGCAAGATGAAAACTGTGCAACCATTTCCCAGTAAAGAAGATGCAAACTGGAACAACACCACACACGAGACAGTCGCCAAGCAATCCAAATGGAGTCCAATCACCACCAAACGACGACGCTACTGTCTACTTTAGCACATTGCACTGGACAATACAGTCGATAACAGTGACTAGACAGCATTGACACGGATAGGAGTTCAAACTGCAAGTATTGGTAAACTACCAGTATCATCAAGGAATACGGTCATGGCTTCATTCATCAGCAGTTGCAAATAATCTGCTAGTTGTTGCTAACGATATTGCCTACATGGCCCATATAGCTTGCTCAACATACTATTCTACAAACAAGTTGAAGAGCAATAAATCAACACGGTCAGCGTATTCGCTAGATCGGACAAGAAGAAATGCGTACTCGTACATTATCAAAGTCAAAGTGCTAACCACTCGACGATACTCATCGGTTGATCCTAGTAGGATACATAGAAGTATCACAGTCTTGCGACATTGGAGAATGGCCTACAACAACACTAGCATGCATAAAAGACTAAATGAACAAGGCCCATCCATTAAATCGAACATATTAAATAGATTCCATTCACCCACCATTCGACAATGTCCTTGTCTACGAGTGCGTACAAATGCTATTCA